ATTATCAATATAGGAAGGTGATTCTGCTTAGTCCAAGCCAATTCAGATTTCATAACTGTTGAACCGTGTATGGTGAAGTTATTTATGTGGTATTGATACAGAAGTTTGCTAGATTAGGCATGTCATGTGCAGCATAGGTTCTCTCTTGTTATCCAGAAGAAGAACATTACCACTGAGCTGGTTTCACGTTACATGCGCTGATGATAACAAAGTCACAAGGCTGTATGTTTATTCCACCTTCATTAGTTATTTAAAGATTATTGGTTTGATTTGGCTGTTTGAGAACTCAATTTTCTAATTGAACGTGGATATTTCAATTTGCTTCTTGAAGGGATCTTGGCAATATGGATTGCAGGGATCTCTTGTCCCTCAGCTTAGATCTTTGCCTAATCTTCAATATCGGTAACAACATTTTGTTTTTTCCTTTTGTCTGTTTGTTGTGAACTCAATGAATTTATGCTTATGGTAATAAATTAGACACGTACGTTTAATCAAATGAGTTGGACATTTTATGGCAGGGAGAATATAAGCACAACATCACTGGGTCGATTCCAGCCGAGTTCGAAATTTAACAAAATTGCTCAGCTTGACCGTAAGAAAATTACTCTCAGGTCCAATTCCAGATTCGCTTGGCAACTTGAAAGCTCTACTGTTTATGTAAGTGCATTATCTCCTGTATCCTTGAATATCCAAGATTATATAAAAAAAAATATATATAATATATATCACAATGCATTTGTATTCATAATGTTTGGTTCCTCGAACAGGAGATTTAACGATAACAAGCTAGCGGGGCACAGTACCCAGATAGTGTCAAAGCCCTTACAAATGAAATTTTGAGGTCCTGTGAGTTCCATTCTTTTTTGGTTTCATGTTAGTCTTCTTACTTTTTCTTATTATTTTTCTGCTGCTATGACTTGTGCTTCTTTTGTATGGACTTGGATTCCTGAGATCATCTGATGATTGTTATTCAATGTTGTATCAGGAAATGTTACAAAATAATCCAATGTGAGGGCCCGTTGACCCACAGGTAAGCAAAGTTACCACTTATCACATGTTATAAAATTAGTAAGAAAGACAAATTGAGGTGTTTCTAATTGGTTCAAACATTTAAGTATGGCCATTCCAATGATTTCCAAGTTATCAACTTCGTGTTTGGTAGGATCTATGTTGTTCAAGCATTACAAACAAGAAGCTGGATCACAGAAATAAAATGATGTGAAATGAGACACATCATATGTTTACTTTAAATAAAAACAGAGGAAGCGTGGTGGACTTTGTAATTTATATGAGAGAATAAGATCAAGATTAGATGCTTTGTGTTTCCAAAGTTGTCTCTAAATTTGAAGAAAAGCTTGGTATTATCCCTCCGTTTGTTGATACAAGGACACAACTACTTTGCCTCTTAATTTAATATCACAGTTAAGTCTTACTAATTAAAAATTAAAAAACATAAAATATTCATTTATAGTATACTCCATGGGCTAGACTGACAAAAGGAATCTAGAATCGCGCTCACTTCCAAATATGTGACTCAGTGGTTTATTTTTTGTTTGTTGTTTGTGTAGAGATGAAGCCAAAAGAAAGTCATAGACGTAACATTTTGTAGGGAATCGTTGTATATCAGTGAACGGTATTAGTGTAGGTGAGTAGTAAAGTTTATGGGGCACAGTGACATCATACATTGTTTATGGGGATGCTTTCGTGACAGGCCATTCTTGTGTGTGTGTGTGTGTGGTGGTAAATTCCGGCAAGTGTGAAAGATAGTATATAATTCTGAGGCTGGTTAGTGCGTGATAAAAGATTAGAAGACATTGTAATATCAGGAATTGGACTCTCTGAAAAGGAAAATTTGAAAGAAGGTTATCATTATGTCATTAATGCTTGTGCAGAGCCTTGGACACCCAAAAAAAAAAAAATCTTAAGACTGATAGCTTTTTAAAAGTAAGTTGGATTGAAGTTTCACGTCGAGTTATCCACAATTTCATGGTTGAGCCAACTCTTATGGTAATAGTGCTTGAAGTATATTATGAGCTCAAAAGTCTTTTTTTTCCTTTTTCTTTTTCTGTGTATAATTTTGTTAAACATATCTCTCCGTAATGTTTCAATGCTTGAGGACTTAATAATTGTATCACTTCTCCCTTCTGAAGTAACATATTTTGAGTATAGTGAGGGCAACAATATCCAGATAATCAAAATATTGGTGTTCAAATCACAGTTTTCCCTAGAGGAATACCGCTTCAACTGGCTGGTAAGGCAGTCACTCCATTCTCACAGCTCTATCACTATAAAGCTGTATCTGACTCTTTTTAACAGCATCTGAATCTTTTTGGCAAGATGGTAATTAGATCTTGCCAAGTCAATTTTTCTTGCCCAAACTAAAGTATGTAAAAGTAACTATCTATACTACGTTTTTTGGTGTCATCGATATCCTTCTGAACTAACATTATTTGTTTTAGCTGCAGGGCAACAAGTTCCAGCTAATCAAAATTCTGGTGTTCAGGATTACATTTTTCCCAGGGAATACCATTTCAATTGGCTGGTAAGGCCTCACTCCATTCTTACAGCTCTAGGACCATCCAGCTGTAACTTTGATTGGTTAAACACCCTGTATATATTGAATGTATAGAAACAATAATCTTTTTAGCCCTAATGTTTTGTAAAGACCCCCTCTTCTCTGATGCAGTGATTTTCTCCTCAACGTTGTGAAGGAACATAACAATTTTGTGTATTTATGACATAGATATGGTTTGCAATGATCAAAGGAGTATTAGTTTTTGGCATGGTTTTCTGAAGGAGTTTATGTGTATCTTTTTACTAGATATCAGTAACTTTTTCTCTTGTGTGTTGGTTTGTTCAAAAATGCACTTTGTTAATCCTTTTGGAGGAATGCAAGCATCACACGGACAGGCCCACCATTATGTACACACAGAGATAAGAAAAATATACTGTAATCAATAGACCTTTCTGTATTTTTCCAATGCTTTGCCTACAACTTCTTCGCATGTTGAAATATTAAATGTTGTCTAGCCATTATCATCTTCTATCTATTGCTAAACACAGAGCGTTTAGATTATTCTAGTCTATCCTAATTATTGTCATAACATAGACTTAGTAGGGAATGAGAGACGTTCACATGTGAAATGTCATAAAAGCTTCGAATTATGGTGACATGAGCAAGGCCTTCACTTCCGATCTAACAAGGTCACTGTTTCTACTATGGGTTTGTCCCCAGTTAAAACGTTCTCATGAGTCCAATTGTGCTTTAGCTGTTAGTTTGAATGCACAATGATGAGGTGGGGGTATATTTCTAGCTTTATTTTAAGGAACAAGAAATAATGGCCACGATTGGTAGAGACGAGAGGAGTGACCCCTTTTGATGAATCTGAGGTTAGAGAAACGGGACATGCCCCCAATATCGGAAGTATAAACTAGGGTACTTTTGAGACCATTCGAGAGGAACATTCGTTTCAAACATACGCAAATTCTGTTTGATATGTATGCTCGGCGAATAAAGACAGGTAGTAGATAAATCTTTTTTTTATCTGTACATTGATAATGGAAACAAAAGTCATGTGCTATCCTGATTTTGCTCGTTATGTTTGTGACCATAATTAGTGTCCAAAACTATTATAATGTCAGCTGGTCCACCTGGGTCAAAAGTTCTTAGATAATCATTATTTTAGGAGGGGGGCTTTTGCAATAGAAATGCTGAATGCTTGTATGATTGTCTTATCAGACAAATGTGTATAACTCCTCAGGAGTGTTGACTTTCACCATTTACCGGTCAAGTAAGACTGGTTGTAAGGGGTAGGGGAACTGCTCAAATTTGCTCCAATCCAACACCAAATTGGTATAAGTGAGTAGTACCACACCAAATTTGATGTAATACTATTCACCCACACCAATTTGGTGTGACATTATTCATCTATTATAAAATATATTTTAATTTGATAACGTTGAGTGTGTTTGGTGGTTATTTATTGTTTGTGATCTGATCCATATTTTATATTCATTCCACTATCACTATTTGATTCCGTTGACGCCACTTAGCAAAAGTTTATTAATTAAAGCTTATTGCTCATTTATTTAATATTAAATAATTTGTTTTCCTGCTATGAGTAATATTTTTTTTTATATTAATGCTTTTAATTAGATGATTAATTATCGATACAACAAGAATAATTATTTGTTCTTTTTCATTTTTAATTTCTTTTTCGATTTTTTCATTTTTAATCCCAATGCAAAAAACGCCCTACAGCCTTACATCAAATATTATTAATGAAGCTGTGGAACAAAGGTAATTAAATTCATTGTCTATTTCTTGTTTGTGATCTGATCCATCGTTGAGTTATATATTCTTTCGCATTTTTTTTAACATTTTATTTTTCAATTTTCTCATAATTTTTATCTTTATTTCAAGTTTTCAGATTTTTCTTTTCTTTTTCAATTTTTTAAAATAATTGTTCAAGTTATTTTATTATTCCACTTTTAAGGTTTAAAGAAAGTGAAAATGACCTTTGAGCTTTTCTGCGTTAGTTTTTGTTCCGACAGAATTCAATTTTGGGTGTGTTTTTGTACCAACTCTTATCTTTTTTATTTCACAAAAAAATTATGATAACATATGAAGTTCATGAATTTTAAAAATAAACATTATTAATCAAATTTATGAATATTCCTAAATAATCTTAAAAGAGTTTTTATTCAAAATACGAATATAATGTAATTCCATTAAAATTACAAAAACACCACTTCTATTCCATTAACGCATCCTTTCAATTAAATAATAGTTTGACTTAACGTTTGCCCCACAAGACTGCCAGGTCAGCGATAAATAAATTTCAGTGGTGAGATTAGAGTTTTGACCTTCAATTTCAGCTGTTTGTTTCTGGTAAAGCTCTTCTTTTTCTTTTTATTTCAATTTAATTATCACTCTTTTCTATTTATCTATCTTTAAATCTTTCAACATTGAGTTGTTTTAATCACATTCTTGTACCAACATTCTCAACCCTTTTGAATCTTTTCTAAACTGGGATTCCTTTCTTTTTGTTTCTTTATAGGAAGAATTTGACTCTCTCTTAGATGATGAAATGGGTTCTGTGAAATATTTTGGTTAACTTGATTTCTTGTTCGCTTTTGTGTCGTTTGAATTTGAATTTGATCACCGTTGTTGTTAATCATGCTTCCTTTATTCTTTAGCCATTTTTGAATTTGATGCTATCAATTCATTCTCTGTTTCTTGGGTTCTTTTGTTTGATAGAATTTACTTCTTATCAATCTGTTCCATGGTAGAACCAATGATTTTGAGTGGCCTTTTTCGCCTTTAGGGTATACATAATGGAGAGTAAGGAGACAAACAATGGGGATGACATACCGACTTCTACTTCCCCACCTCCGACGAATGAAGAGGTTAGGTCCAATAGTTCGCCGAATGAACAGGGTAACTTTGACTGGATTGTTGATGAAGTTACTGGTGAAGGAGCAGTTAATGTGAACAATCCTATGCTGCAGCCGCATCCTGCGGATCATCAGGATTATCACATCTATAGGAAAGGTGATTCTGCTTAGTCCAAGCCAATTTCAGATTTTCCATACCTGTTGAACCATGGATGGTGAAGTTATTTATTTGGTATTGATACAGAAGTTTGCTAGATTTAAGGCATGTCATGGGGAGCATAGGTTCCCTCTTGTTATCCAAGAAGAAGTAACATTACCACTGAGCTGGTTTCACGTTACATGCAATGATGATAACAAAGTCACAAGGCTGTATGTAAATTCCACATTTCATTAGTTTATTTAAAGATTATTGAGTTTAGATTTGGCTTTTTGAGAACTCAATTTTTTTAACTTGAAAGTGGAATATTTCAATTTGCTTCTTGAAGGGATCTTGGCAATTATGGATTCCAGGGATCTCTTGTCCCTCAGCTTGGATCTTTGCCTAATCTACAATATCTGTAACAACATTTTGTTTTTTCCTCTTGTCTGTTTGTTTTGTGAACTCAATGAATTTATGCTTATGGTAAATAAATTAGACAAGTAAGGTTTTATGAAATGAGTTGACACTTTACTGGCAGGGAGATATATAGCAATCAAATCAATGGATCGATTCCAGCCGAGCTCGGAAGTTTAACAAACTTGCTCAGCTTGGACCTGTACAAAAATCAACTCTCAGGTCCAATTCCAGATTCGCTTGGCAACTTGAAAGCTCTACTGTTTATGTAAGTGCATATATGTCCTGTATCCTTGATCTATCCAAGATTATATATAAAAAAAAAAATATCACAATGCATTTTGTATTCAGTTCATGTTTGGTTCCTCGAACAGGAGATTGAACGATAACAAGCTAACGGGCACAGTACCCCAGAGTGTCAAAGCCCTTACAAATGGAAGTTTGAGGATCCTGTGAGGTTCCCATTCTTTGTTTTGTTTCATGTTTAGTCTTCTTACTTCTTTCTTATTATTTTTCTGCTGCTATGTGATAATCCGTAAATTATACAGTTTTTAGTTAATCTTTTTGTCGGATTTCAGGTACTTTCTAGTGCATTTTTACCTGAATTGGTGCGTAATTCTCTACTTTTCGTGTTTCAGGTTAAAATGGACTCTTTTAGTGAATAAAGACAAAATTTGACAGTTTTGACTCAGAATTGAAGGATTTCAGAAGATAGGAGAGTTCCGGAGTAGGACAATGCACGATGAAGCTTGTTTCCAAGGTGGAGAGTCGAAAATCGAAGAATCGGANCGGTTGCTTCAACTTGTTAACGTTAGGAACTTAGTGCTTAGCTACCAGTCCTCGTGGGAACGATATCCTACCCATCACTCTATTACTTGAATGACTAGTGCACTTGCTAGTTTTGCATGTTGTAGTAAACACGCATCACTATGACTTGTGGCTTCTTTTGTTGGACTTGGATTCCTGGAGATCATCTTGATGATTGTTATTCAATGGTTTATCAGGAATGTTAAAAATAATCAGTTGTCAGGGCCCGTTTGACTCCACAGGCTAAGCAAAGTTACCCAATTATCACTATGTTATAAAATTAGTAAGAAAGACAAATTGAGAGTGTTTCTACTTGGTTCAAACATTTAAGCTATGACCATTCGAATGATTTACAAGTTATCAACTTTCCTTGTTTTGGTAGGATATGTTGTTACAAGTATTAAACAAGAAGCTGGATCTCAGAAGTAAAATGATGTGAAATGAGAAACATCATTGTTGTATTACTTTAAATAAAACAAGAAGCTGGCCTGACTTTATAATTTATATGAGAGAATAATGATCAAGATTAGATGCTTTGTGTTACCCAAGTTTGTCTCTAAATTTGCAGATAAGCTTGGTATATCTCCCTCCGTTTGTTGGATTGACAGCACAACTCACTTTGCCTCTTTAATAAAATATCACATTAACTCTTATAAATTAAACATAAAAACATAAAATATTCATATATAGTACACTCCATGGGCTAGACTGACAAAAGAATCATAATCAGCCTAATTCAAATATGTGACTCAGTGGTTTAATTTTTTGTTTGTTTGTTTGTTAGAATGAAGCCAAAAGAAAGTTATAGATTTAACATTTTGTAGGGAATCGTTTGTATATACAGTGAAGTTATTAGTGTAGGTGAGCTAGTTAAAAGTTTATGGTGAGTACAGTGACATCATACATTGTTTAAGGGATGCTTTCGATTGAAAGGCCTTTATTTTTTTTTTTTTTTTGTGTGTGTGTGTGTAAATTGCTGCAAGTTGTAAATATTGTATATGTTCTGAGGCTGGTGAAGTGGTGACTAAAGATTAGAAGACATTGTAATTACAGGAATTGGACATCTGAAAAGGAAATTTGAAAGAAGTTTCATTATGTCATTTAATGCTTGTGCAAGAGCTTGGACCACCTAAAAAAAAAACTTAAGACCTGATAGCTTTTTTAAGTACGGTTGGATTTATGAAGTTTCATGTCGAGTTACCACAATTTCATGGTTGAGCTCAACTCTTCACGGTAAGAGTTGCTGAAGTATACATTATGAGCTCAAAATGTCTTTTTTTTTTTTTTTTTTTTTTTTTTTTTTTTTTTTTTTT